GTAAAACATAATTCGTTAGATATAAATGTGTGTTCGCCTCGCCTTATTATTATTTAGAGGGAAATTCATTTTACGATCGATCCTCCCACCACAGCATAACTCGAGCATGTCAGGCTAATAAAGCACTTATCTAATTAAATATCGTTTACTTGCACGGCCGCAGAATTGTATAATTAATACATATGATTAGCCGGTTTCTTTCTTTCTTTTCACTCTCATTGCTCCACTCGCAATTATAAATCCCTAGATAAATTTTAAAAAAAAAACGTTATCAGCAACTCCAAATCGATTAATGTTCGTTCATTTGGAAACAAGATCTCTGTTTTTTTTTTTCGTAGACATCACGGGCGTATTCACTTTTTGTAATTACTATTGACGTGTTTTACATTTAACGCATGCACACGGTTCGAAAATATAGATGAAATACATGAGCAACATTATAACGATTCGCCTTGAGAGCAATTCATTTTTATTGTTGTGTGTTGCAGTGATTGATAATTATCTTTACAATGTAATCTGTAATTACAGACAATAATGTACCGAGCACCGTCGGTACAATGCGGAACGATGTCAAAACTACTTCTAATCCCAATCTTTTGATTTTTATTACCTAAAAATATTTATACTGCTTCTTACATCAGTAATTTTACTGGAAGTAAATGTAATTAATATTTCGTTTGGAACACTTAAATTTAAAATTATTTTAATGTTCCAAGTTTTCAGCTTAATTGTTAGATTTTTTTATAATTTACGAAACTGATCAAGAACAAAGTCATAAATCAAGTCCTGAAATGAAAAGTGTCTTGATTAATACAAAAAAAATTTGAATCCGTAAATTTCAAAAATGGAAATATAAATTTAATGAATTTGGCATGTTGACTTGAAATTTATTGAGCTCTTTTAAAACGCTCAAATATTGTTATAATTATCAATATTTTCTCTTTGAAATCTTGAAAGATGAGATGAGAAAAATGTTCTAATGGAAGCCTTAAATTTTGATAAATGTGTGAATTTTCTCAATTTTCCTAGTCCAGTTTTTACACGGGACATTTAAAAAGAACTTTAAAATTTTGAAGATCGTTTGCAAACCTTGTATTCAAATTATTGTTTTATTGCAATGAAACTTGCAAATTGCATTGTCTAAAAAAAAAACGCCTGCTATTTTGAAAAGATATAATGTTGAATTAATATTTATAACACAATGAAAGCTGTAAAACTGGAAAGGCTAATTTTGAACTTTATATTTCCTTGCCTGTTTAACTATATTTAAATTAAAATTTAGGGTTACAAAATATAATTTATAAAGTAAAATATTAAAAAAGTCTGGGAATTATAATTTTAAATTTAAACCTGCCATTTTTTTTTGCATTTTTTAACTTCCCTTTGTGCCTTTCAATGCCGTATTGATTTCAAGCATGCAAATTTCAAACAACATAAATCGTGCCGTGGCGTTTTAAATGAATTCATTCAGTCAAAAGCAGGCAGCACGCTGTGTTTTCTGCAGTCGTGTGGGGGTCGAGAGGTCGCGACGAATGAATTGGCATGCGCGCAGCAGTAGTTCCTTTTTAACGTATCTTTATTAAGATAAAGAAAAAAAACCAAATGCACAGCGTGCAGATAAAAAAGGAGCTGCTCATTTTCGCAACGGCGGCCTCGCGGTATGTAATCTGCTCTTTCTCTCGGTGCACACGTAATAATAATAAAAGGGGCATACCGTGCCGTGTGAAATTGCAGGCACATTGCGACCTTTGACACCGGCGGCGGCGCATTCCTCTCCGGCCGTGGGCCACGCCAATTGATTTGTGCTCATATTTTATGGCCTTGTTTATTTGCATAGCTTTCAATTTACAATCGGCCCGACATGTACAAATGGGCTGTTGCCAATTTAATGGCCGAACCTCAACGCTAGGATTTATCATACATTTTTATTTTAGGGCCGAGCCCAACCAAAAGTCACCGAGACGAATATTGTAAATCAAAGCAGGCTGACGGCAAAAACAACAATTATAAAAAGCAAAGCATTCTGCGAAATGAGCAGCGTGCCGGCGGAGACACACAAAAAAAGAATCGTTTGATTGATGAAAATTATTGGCCTGGGGAACCGTCGATCCGTCATTTTCGGTGAGAAACAATCATAAAAAAATGCAGGACTTTCGCCAATTGATTTCCGCCGAGTCAAGGCAACCAATTTGGGAAGGTCGCGGATTGATTTTAATTGGAAGATTCAGCGGCATTGACAGATTTATTGATGCTTTTCTAGAATTCCAAGTAGATACAATTGAAAAAAATACAGAGATAATTGTAAATAATGGCCAGTCAAGTTTCATTCATCAATAAGTATAACAATCTTCAAAACAATAAATCAAAAGTTTGAGAAATCAAAAAAGTTATCTGACCAATAGTGGAAATGTTTTAACTTATTATTTTTCAACCTAATTTTTTTAAGTGGAAAGAAGATAAAATAGCCAAAATTCAGTTAAAAATGATGTTAATTGATCGAGTAAAAAATATTAATTAAAAAAAAATATTTAAATTATTAGTAAACACTGCAGTATTGAAATATTTTAATAATTTTATTAAATTAAAGAAAGATGGCCGCACAAAATCACACTATACTATAATATTGATAAAAATTTAAAAAATATAATTTTGATTTCATTCTTTATTTGAACAAGTATATTCCACAACCACAGTTAAGAGAAAAATATTAAAAAAAAAAGAAAATAAATAAATAAACGAACTATTAAAATTGAAAGAATTAAGTACTTGCTTGATTACGACGGAGAGACAAAAAATTAAACGTTCTCGTCTGGAAAAATTAAGGCAGATCAAGATCAGAAGCGCTGCTGTTGACAGGCACTAATGCAGGTCAACAAGTGCTCGTCTTGATTTTCATACACTGATTGGCTCGTCTCTTTCACAAGCACCTGGCTGATTCTTTTATTTTTTTATCAATCAGATTTTCATTCCCTGCGCTCTGGAAATTATCTGAAAAGTTATAAAAATCACGTGTGCGTCTGCTGACGCGAAACCTGTTGCGATCGTCGAGCGACATAAAACGCGCTGCTGGTGGCTAGGCTGGTCCATTAACCGTGGGCACCTCGCAACGAGCAGACAGAATTTCAGAGAGACCAGAGCGATGCTATCGAAAAGTGAAATGGTGTGTCCCGCAGCCCAGCCGCTCATTAATATTATCGCCCGCGAATCGCTCCCCTCGCATATTTATCGCGTATGAATATAAAAGACAGTCACGGTAATGAGTGTATAATGAGGGTTCGACCGGAGCAAAAAATCACCTGCCAATATTGACGGGCTGTCGAAAAGAATAGAGAGATGCTGATTATGGACTGAATTTCATTACCAAACATGAGGTCTTAATACTTCAATCATGTTTGAAGGAGTAAAAGAAAATTAGGCTAATTATTCCGAAAGAGTTGGAGGCTGCGGTCCAGCCTCGCTCGCCAATTGCGGAGGGTTGGATTTTTACAAATTTAAGCAGGTGATTGAAAAAATGGATAAACCTTGAATTTTTTTGAAATATTATTTGTGTGCATAATAAAATATTAAATTTATCTTTTCCGAACGCTTCATGACAGAAAATTAGACGCGGTTGAAGCGTTTCGCACAGTTTTTCTTCTCCTTTAGTAGTAAATTTTTTTTAGTGTTTTTATTCCTCAGTATAGTTAAGGCCTTGGTATGTGTATAATCCATTTCGCATTTGTGCCACTGTTGTGTTCGCCGCTCGTCATTAGAACGTTCTCGTTTCCACCGCGAATTAACGAGCATTACGCCGAATACACATTCATGCAACAAGCCGTTGGTGCGAAAACTAAAATGGAAATGCCCGCGGCCGCGAGTCGCAAAACCACTTAATTTATGTGGCAGCTTCCTTAAATTTTTTATCGCACGCTGCGTGTCGCGCTTCCTCCCGAGAGGCCTCTCTCGTGAAAAGACCCTGACTAGATATTCGCACGAATTGCGTATGTAATCTGCGTGTACTTTTTTATTTTGAGTACTTGCTTGTAATGAAGGTCGCAATAAAATTTTCGCTCGGACGTTTATGTATTTACGTCGGTCCAGTTTTTATTTTACATACATATAAAGCCAGCAAAAAGAGATATAAAAAAATTTCACTCTTTTTGTAAAAATAATTCGGCGCGTCTCTGTTGCGCCGAGCATTCCTTGCGGCGGGTAAACGTGAATGAATGTTATTACCGCACATACTGCGGTTATGCAGCACGCGAGAATTTATTGCGGTGGATTTCGATTCAATAGTAATTCGATGGCTTCTTATATAAAAATTAAAGCGTTTGTGTTTTATTTTTTGTCGCTGCGTTAAATGAATTATCGCAGCACTTTCTTTCCCCTTTCGACGCCGCTGCTTTTTGTGCTCGGAGGAAATTGCTTTTATTGAGAGAAGCGTTCATGATATGCCCGCTTTTATTACATCAGTAGCCGGACATTTCACCCTGCAGGCACGTCTCATAATTACGACTTTATGAAATACTGTGCCTGCATCTTATTCAGTACATTTCGTCTAGCCCGTCTAACTCGGTGTTTGTTGTGCTGAATAACAATGGAACAATGGCACTTAACTTTTGAGTATCAAAACGCATTAAGCGGAATCGAGCTGGTTTTACAGTTCATTAAAAATTTGCTTAGGTCACCTTTCGAGAGAGCAGCAGCAGCAGCAGCTTTAGGGCAAACTCTTATCTCATCGAATGCATCTATATCTCTGCGGAGTAAAAAAAAACCGGAGAGGCATTCTAATAATTGATGTTAGGATAATTAAACATTTTCTCTGCGGCACTGACAAATGTTGATATTAGTCGTTAATTGGTTCACTTCCTTTTCGTGGCCTCAACGACGAGTAATTAAATTTCGCCGTGATTTATAAGGCCCATTTATATTTTCTCCGGCGAGTGTTGAAAGAAAGGCAACACTAATTAATAAAAAAAATTTGAATTTTTTTAAACTCATATTTGAATATTTTATTACAGATGTGGCAGGACATTGAGAGCATGCTGATGGGCTCGCAGCCAGCAGGCCCTCACGCGTCTCCAGTGGTCATCGCCAACCCCTCGGGCGGCAGTCCGACGCCACCACCCTCATCCCCGGTGGAAAAGTTCCCCGAACAACCCCCAGAGCCGCCGCAGTACCCTGCGCCTCCTCCACCAGAACAATACCCAACAGAGTTCCTAGCTGAGGAGTACGTTGACCTCGACTTCCTGATCAACCACGTGGCTGACCAGCACGCTTACGGCCCCGAGGGCACCACCGACCCCCCGAAACCGGAGCTGACGTTCACCTTCAGCCAATCGGCCGACCCGACGTACAGTGGCGTCCTCACAGTCATCCAGACGTCGCCACAAATCGCGTACAACCACGGCCAAATGTCTCCACCCGCCAGTCCGGACAACCAGGACTTCCGGAAGGCGCCGTTGGCGGCGCCACCTCCGCAACTGCCGCTGCCGCAGTTCAAGGTGATGACGCCACCTTCCTCACCGAATCTGGCCGAGTTGTTGTCCTCAGCTCAACCGACCGTGACTTCCCCCTCCACCCACCCTGCTCTGACCAACCCCCTGGCGTCAGGGTGCCAACCACCGGACAAGCCAAAGCGCGGCCGACGAAGTTGCGGCCGCAAGAAGCTGACCACCCACACCTGTTCTCACCCCGGCTGCGGCAAAACCTACACCAAGTCTTCGCACCTCAAGGCCCACCTGAGGACGCACACGGGTGAAAAGCCGTACCAGTGCAGCTGGAAGGCGTGCGGGTGGAAGTTCGCGCGGTCCGACGAACTCACCAGGCACTACCGCAAGCACACCGGCGACCGACCCTTCCAGTGCAGACTTTGCGAACGCGCCTTCTCGCGCTCGGACCACTTATCGTTGCACATGAAAAGACACGTCAGTGTGTAGAAAGAGATAAAACAATATATAGCGAATTAGAAAGGATGCTGGGACGCGCGCTGGATCTTTTTTTTCAGCCGAACTCTCGTTTGTGAATGTGTAATATCATCTGAATGCATACCGTTCATGAAGGAGTGGTCTCTGCGGAGAGATGTGAAAGTAGTGTATCGGCGAAATGTACAGAGGGAGAGAGACAATCTGCTGCCGTGTGTGTAGCTCGCCGCGTTGTTAACCAACTTACACCTCCGCTAAATAGAGCTACGTACATGAAAGAAAGTCATTAAAATAGACAGTCAAAGAATAATGTATATCAGGAAACGCTATCGCATTTTGAAAGTATAATATATAAATACATGCGCGAGAGCAGTGACACATTCTCACACACACACATACTTCTGAGTTACCTTTGCACATATTAACACGTACGCGTCGCGCAGAAGAATCTATCAAATAATTATTTGCTCTGAAAAATCAAAAGGCCGGCGCTCTCTATTGTGTGAAAACACCCATTTATCGCACCTTGGCTCCGTTTGTTTGAATAATATATATAATTCAGCACGAAGGTGATAAAAATTAATCGCTGAAATCGCCGCGGCACAAAAGACTAATGCATAATTCAAGGCGGCTTTCTTTCCTTCTCTCGCTCTAGGTACAATACCCACACGTGATCCGAGCGTGCTTTAATTACAATCGCACAACTTGCAAGTCAAGCCGAACACAAAAAGCTTGCGTAATATAATTTTCAATTCAACGACCAGATTCTAATTTCGATTGAAATTGCCAGCGACCTTGATTTTAAATTCCATCCACCGCGCCGCAGACCGCAGCCGCCGAAACTCATCTCCGAAATTTCATCCATAAAGTCTCCTCTTATAATAATATCCAAATTTACGGCGGCCGTAAAAACACGTCTCATTTATACGCACAATATGTTGTTGCTCCTGCATATATGTTATGTAACTTTGATCGGAGTCTGCGGCTTCGGTCGCGCGGCGCGCACTCGATACATTTTTTTTGCGCTCCCCTGGCTTCAGAAGGCCCTCTCTGCGTCTGCTCTGAAATAAATACATAGTCCATCAAGGTCGACCAGTTTGTATACACACTCAAAAGAGAGCGAGAGAGACAACATTAAAATGAATTTATTATATATGAAATGAGCGCCCGCCTTAATTAATATATCGAACAATGCAATCTGCGTGCGTGTTTAAAAGCAAAAATCGAAGCCATGCACTCTCCGTCTCTCTATCTCACATGAGAGGAGAGCGCCACACTGTGTGTGTGCCTTGTGTCCCTACAGACGTTTCGTTGTAATTTTTAACATGATAAACGATGTATGTATCCCCGCCTTTTGATATTATAACGTGTTAAATTTAAAGAGAAGCTCATAATTTAATCGGTCTCCTCCGCCCCATTTTCAAAAGATTTTTTTTTTCTTTAAAAAACGAACCACCGCGCTATAATTGTTTGAAAAGTTAATTCTAGTCAAAAAGTGTGCTTGAAATTTTAACTCTCTCACGTAAATGCCATTCACGTTTTGCCTACAAAAAATAAAAGTTACCATTAAGCGTGTAATCTCCGCTCTGCCATCGATTTTTTAATCTCTAGCTTAAGTAATTTCAAGCCTGCCGAAATTTAATGTGGGGTTCGACCGGATAAGCGAGTTTTTTTCGTTGATCCTGTGATTTATTTTTTTTCTGTAATTTTCTCCCCTCTATATTAAGAAATGGCAAGCAGTCTTGACGATATTAAAAAAAAAATGCTTTTTGGCAGGTCTGGGGTGTCGCAAAATGAGCTTTGGCAGCGGCTCGTAGAAAGCTCGACGTCGAGTCGAGCGCCTCGAAATGTCATTCATAAAACCGTTGGTTGCCGCGCGGTGAAATTCTCATTTGCACGAATAAGATATATAATATATAATACACATGCAGAGCTTTTATTGTGCGTTGTTGGCCCCCCGACGAGTTGCAAAAGCGGCCGAGCTTCGGAGAAATCACTTTCCTCTCTTGAATTTGCATTTAAACAATGAATAACGATTTGCGCACCTCTGCCAACACCCTCGAAATCTCAAAACTGCTGCTGCTTTTCAATTACCGATTTTATTAATCCGATTTCCGTTCTCCTTTTTATATTTTTTACCAGCTGATTATCTCCCCGCGCGGAGGTACTTAAAAATTCACTCAATAAAGTTTAGTTTTTTATTTTACGATTAATCCGAAAGTCGCCGCTTTAAACGCACGAAACACTTTTTTAGTATTCCCGTAGTTTTAATGTAACAGTGCCGTGTTTTTTTATACCGATTAATTACTCGCCATGTACCACTACTTATATACAATTTTATTACACTTTTTAAACGGAGGTTTTATGTAATTTTACCTAAAGTAAGCTGTTGAGGTTTTTGCATTAGCAACGAGGTGTTCCGCACTGAGAAAAGAAAATCGAGATTTGCGTTTCGCGTCGACCTTTTAGTACAAACTAGACGAATTCTCTCGTTTTTTGTTTTTAAATAATCTCTTCCTAGTTAGTGAGCTCTCTAATTTTAACCGAAAACAAGTGTCATATTATATATTTTCGTTTGCTCCAATGGTGATTTTGCTGCTTGCCTCCTGATATGACGAGAAGGAAATTTTACGATGCACTCTCAATTAATTAGCCAACTGATGACAGACGTTTTTTAAAAACGCCTGTTAGTCACGAATCGCGGGAAAAGTGCTTTTGTCATCCCAAATGTTCGAACTTTTGCTCCTTAATCGTATGTAATCTTGCCCAATTTGCGAGAGCAGTGCAGAAACATAATTTCATACACACGCATCCATGCAAAAACTACTATTATTTAATTGTACATATTAGTGATTAAAATTAAGATTATTCAATGTGAATTTTAATGTAAATTAGTGCTTGGACTATTTCTCTCAAATTTGCTCCCTTGTATGTAAAATGAATTGTTATACGACTCTAAAAATTATTTAATAATCTGCAATTTCAACTGTCTTATTGTTAGATTTAAAAAAGAAATGTTTGGAAATTTTGTGAAACGCGTGGAGGAGTTTTGTTGACGTGATGAACCGTTGTGTACTTTTTTTGGGAACGTTTAACCAATCGAGTCTGAAAACTCACAATTATGATTCTTGTATTTCGAGCGCAAGCGGACTCCTTTAAAGAGAAGCAGTCCTGCAGAAGTTACACTTTTAATGAGCGTGTACTGTATTATTTATGAGATTTTATTATGTAATGGTAAAAATGCCTATTGTTACACAACTTGTGTGGTATAAATAAATTACAACGATATATAATTTCAACGACAAACAATCGCTGTTTCAATAAATTGCATCTATCTTTCTCTCCCCGAATGAATGCCCATCAGCATTTTTTTTTTAAGAGATGTGAAAGTACAAAAGCCGCGCCTGACTGAGATGCAGACCGCGTGTGCGGTTTTATATACGAGGCATGTAACACATAACATTTTTTGCTGGTACATACATATTTCCAATGCAGACAAAACATAAACTGCCAAAGGCTCGATTCTTTTTGCATCAATCTGGCCGAAATTCAATCGCATGATGTGGGTTGCGTTGCCAACGCAGAGGAAAGTGATTTAATTTATCATATTGCAGCACCATTCAGATAGTTAAAATTTACAACCTTTTTCAATTTAAGTATGATATTTTCATTCCCTGCAGCAAGAAAAAATTCACATGAGTAACTTCACTGTTTGGAAATTGAATCAGTTCCAAAATTTATAAGGTGATAAAAATTCCAGAGTAGATGGAATCAATTAGCCGTTGGATTTATTGATTCGTTTAGTGTAAGAAAGGCCATTTTTTTTTAATTTGATGAAATGTTTAAAAAAAATTATTCTTGGTTAAGAGTTTTTCTTAATTTACATATTATATAATTTTATGATGCAAACAACGAATGTGAATCGTTGCTTTTCTCAAACATTTCTTATTTCATATTAAAAATGAAGAGTCCAAAAAGTAGCAATAATAAAGGATTAAATTACATTTTAATATTCATTATTATTACTAAAGATAAAATTTTCTTTAATTACCAAGATTTACTAATTTAATTTATTTTTCCAAATACTTACTGCTTTTTTATATCCAATTTAGGTTCAAAAATTTTCAACTTTTAAAGCTTTCTTGAGTCATATTTTTGAATTCCAGAGTTTCTAAATATCTTTTATTTCATTTTAGTTTGTCAACTTATGACTAAGCTGATTTCCACAGAAGTAAAGTAACTTTTTTCAATTTCAATTTGCTTTTTGATTTCTGTCTCTATCATAGAAATTTGCAGCAAATATTTAACAAAAATTAAACCAGAATACAATTTAAAATTCTGCAAAATTTTGGTTTAAAAATAAAACAAAACACCAAACCTATTTTCAGAACAAATCGAATGTAATTTTAAAAAAAATGTGGTTATTTTTTAAAACAAGTCTATGAAATATAATTAAAAAAAATTATAATTTACCTATTATCTCTTAAAAACATAAAATTATGGAAAAAAAATTGAAATAAAGAAAAAATTTCTACAATCAGAACATCTTAATAATCCTAAAAAAAGCCAAGTGATTTTATTCAAAGAAATATAAATTAAATTAATTTCTATTTTTCAAATTGCATAACAATTTTGTGCGTTGACTTTGTAGATTTTCTTTCTTTTTATCAGTGCAAATTTCATAACCCTCGGTCAAGGAACCGAAATCACTTCCTGGCGTTGCAAGAGTGATAAAGAAAGTGATCTCGGGCGGCTGAAAATAAATTTTATCAGACACCAAATCATAGCTGAGCGTCGAGACAGAAAGCGGCTGCACTATTAGCTGCGGCGATTGTGGGCGCAGCGGTGTGGACGGCAATGACGGCACATCGCACTCACACACACACACACACACTCGGACCGAGAGCAGCGTTTATTTCAAAATAATCCGCCTGCTCTCTTGATAATAACAAGATCACAACGTCATATCTGCCTATAGGAATGAAAGTGGAGCAAGCGTGCGCTCCTATCAGCTACCAAGCAGGCTTTATACATAATAAATTATACCTCTGCCCATGCGAGTGTGTGTGTGTCTGTATTATTCTCCGCAAAGTCGCGAGCGCTTGTTTGGTAAGCTGGTTTCGCTTTCTCTCCGATATTAGGAGCACACATACTATAACATATTCCTCGTTATTTACATTTATTTACTTTGGTTACTCGGCCGCGGCAGCAGCAGCAGCTGATTGCAGCTCGTCTCGTAATGCTACAAAACACGCCAGCGATGAATTCAGCTGGGGTTATTAGCTAATTGGACGCGCATTGTGTGTTTGTTGTTGACGAAAAGCTGTTTTGGGCACTAGGGATTGAGAATAATAGGTGATTTTTTTATTGGAAATTAATGAAAAATAGGTGATTCAAGTGATTAAAAAATTGGCGGTTTATTTCATTATTTTTGTATCATTTTTTTATTAGGAGATAATTATGATGATTTACAAAATTTTGTTGATGTTAAGTAAAAACAATCTCGCAAGATTAGTAATTTTTTCCTACTGGAACTATCAAATAAGCTTTAAATTGTTGATTTTTGTATTTCATAAAATTATCTCTTGATAATCTCAAACTTATATTTTAACCTTCAAAATGTATATAATGGGCTTCTAAAGTCAGTTGAATCAAATTGTGATATGTATTTTTCACATCCATGGCCTTCTATCCATTCAAAAAGCATACTTGACGGCGCAAAAGCTTGGACGAAAAGCCAAATTTTTAAAAAATAATTTTACATTAAATTCTAAACGAAAAGTTTGTTTCCATTTTGATATTTTGCAATCACTTGAATTTTTAAACACTTATAAAATCATTTTTTGTTACTATAATATTGTTTATTTATCCAAAATGTTGCAAACAATTGAATATCAAAAATTAAATGGTTTGTTGAGATTATCTTGACAAAAATGAAAAGATTTTTCTAAATTTTCTAGCTCAAAAGGTTTGTTCTCTACGGGTTGCCTAAGTTAGCCTTTTGATCCTTTTGCTTAATTTCTTTTCTCCTCCATTTATTAGAATTACATTATTTGCAGTAAAACAAAATTCTACATCAATACAGGTATTCCTGATATTTTTGAAAATTTATATTTCTACAAATTTAAAACAAGAGCAATAATACTGGAATTTTTAACCTCTAGGTCCTTTTTTCATGGTGCAATGCAAATGCAAATGCAAACACAAATATTTTACAGTTCTTCGGCACGCGCCCAGGAAAATAATTTTTTTTTTTTAATTTGTTGATAGGTGAGTTTTTATTTATTATTATTTTATTTTTAATTATAGCCAGAAGGCCTTTTTTGACAAAACCGCTTTTTGTTTACAACATACATATCTAGCGCTCATCCTATGCTCTGTTCTTTTTTATCTAGATGGTCAGCATGCAGGTGAAATATCATTCCGTGCAGTTGGCCGAGGGGAGGCTACTTTTTTAATAATGCTTAAGTAACGCGCGCGCAAACAATGCCCGCGCGATGTTTTTGTGCGGAATTTCATGGAGATTAACCCAGTTGCAGAGACGACCGTTTGTCTGGACAAAAATAATGCCCTCGTAAATCGTCCGGATATTTTCTAAATAGTGCCGTCGAGCACGAAAACTTTCGTTGTCCTTATTTGGAAAAATAGTTATTGTCCCTTTGTTACAAAAAGTCTGGGGAAATTAATTTCGTACTAACTGCATATTGGAGGAAAAAGATCCAGAAACTTTTATCATTATGCCAGATTTATTAAAGCCTTCTATTGTGTAATCAAAAGTATGCAACCAGCGCATCCACCGTGATGGCTGTGGTTGCCTAAAATTGCCACTCAAATATTAAGTTCCGTTTTTATTATATTTTAATTATTATTAAATCAATTATTTCTTTTTTGCATTTCAATTAAATTTGCACAACTAAGAAAAAAAGCTTATATAAAGTTTTTCATATATAAAATATTTATTTATGTTATTTTCCAGGGTTTATTGTCTACTTTTATGAATTAAGTGAAATATCATCATTTTATTTGTATAAATTTGCAAGCCAAACAAAAATTTACAATCGTTGCGTTAATTAATACAATATTGAGGAAAATCCGTCTTTCAATGTCGAGCAAATGCGGAGTGAGTAGTGAATTAATCGGCTTATGCACAATTACGATTCAAAAAGTTCCGTGTCGGCAGCTCGAGAATGATTAATGGCGACAGGAAAAGAAACAGGACTGTCATTTTTTCACCTCCAGGTGCACACACAACAATAAAATAACAACAATAAACAGCAAGCTGCATTTTCCGCTAACGAGCTGCTACATAAAAATTGATTTCTCAATAATAATAATATCGCGGTCCGAAATCACGATAAGCACGCGTGGCGTTTTATGGACACGGAATAATTTATTATTTCGCCAATTTTATACCTCGGCTCTTTATACAAAACAATCGCACACGACGTGAATAACCCTTCGCAGCACTCGCAGATCGGATTGCTTTCAATAAAACATGAATATTTATTGTTTCGCCGAGACAGTTTCATTGCATTGTTACGCCGATATACTTTGCGCCGAGATTTATTGCGGTGATTAGTATTTATTCGCTTCATATCCTATTTCAATTCGATCTATTCATTCCTAACCGGCAACTTTATGACGATTGCAAATCTTTCCCGTGAATGGACAAATAAATGAGAATTCGCCATTCAGCAAATTACTCTCCGAGTTGACAGTCATTAATTATCTCTCCCCCGACCTTCCCCTGACCTACTTAATCATCAACTAAGTGACATCCCTCTCTTTTCAAAAGAATTTCAACTTATACAATCCAATGATGAAATTTTCGCATGATGTGTATGACGAGGACGTGCGGTTAATTTTTTTTACGCTGTTTGGAACCAACGCATGTCATTCCTCATCCTATGGAATGAGCTCGTCCGCGTATCTCTCGAGCGGTATCAGCGTCCATTAATTAAGTCTCTGTCAAAACTGTCTTGCTCGGAGAAAGAACGAAAGAAAGAATTCGGTGGCAAGTAATGGCGATGGCCAGCAGCTTTGATTGCGTCGTCCGGCGTGAATTTATTTATATCTCTCCTTTGCTGCTGTATATTCAGATAAACAAATGTGACAAGTATTGTCTGCTGCGACGACGGGACCAGACACTGCTGCGACAATAGACCTTGGAGAGCAAAACAATTCTTCGATCCTTTGTGAAATTTACTTGCTGTAGGAACAAAATGGGGGCAAATTTATATAAAATAGAATCCTATGCAGGCAAAACTTTGACTGGATTTTTTTTTAATAGATTAA